GTTTGTGACAATAAAATACGGTACATGTCACGCTGACGAACGATGGAATCAACAAGCTGCATTTGATGTTGTCGCGACTCACGGAGTTGCTCCAGTTCAGTGAGAGCGCTCTCAAGTTTGAGCTGAAGCTCAGTTATTCTATAGGAAAAGAAATCAGTCTATTTTACTAGACTGGACTGAGAGTTAGGCAATTATAATTTCTACTGTAAATTACCTAAGCATCTTCGTCTACCAGTAGGCATACACTTTTGTGTCTCTTGTCCTTTCTTTCTTTTTCTAATTTTTATTTATTTATTCTTTTTTGAGACGGGCTCTCATTCTGTCACCCTGGGTAGAGTGCAGTGGCATCATCATAGCTCATGGCAACCGCAAACTCCTGGGTTCAAGTAATCCTCCTGCCTCAGCTTCCCAGCAGCTAAGACTACAGGTGTGTGCCCCCACTCCCAGCTAATTTTTTCTATTTCTGGTAGAGACAGGGTGTCTTACACTTGCTAAAGCTGATCTTGACTTCTGGACTCACATGATTCAACCATCTTGGTCTCCCAGAGTGCTAGGATTAAAGGTGTGAGCCACCTCACTTTTTAAATCCTACTATATAGGACTCATGTACTTAAACTCAATAATGCAATCTGAAAACTTTGCTGCAAAAATTGAAACAATTCCACTAGTCTCAACTCTATTCTTCTGTTGCTTTCATAGGTATTCTTCCCCCTCTAGTATACATGTTTTTTGAAAAAACTCTTCATACCGCTTGAGTAATTCCTGCATATGTTCTCCATGAAGACTAGTCTGTTCCTTGAAATCCTAGCCTAGGTTCCCCACCTCTGTGTTACCATATATAGGCTTTTACCTGTTATAGCACACTGAACAAAAATTATTTACTTAACTATTTTATTATCTATTTTGTCTGTTTCATCCATATTTGAGGTCCTGAAGTACAATTTGGTATTTATTTATTTTTGGCACTGTAGCTTATTCCTGTCCCCCAAATCACTACAATCACAGTATCTAGCAGCGAGGCACATAAGAGATGTAATAAATGTTTGCTGAACAAACTGAGGTAGTCAATTGCTTACTTAGATGAAGTTGTTTCTTGTTCTTCTCTTTCTCTGGTTTCTCCAAGTTCTCTAAGAGCCACTAAGAGACGCTGATTTTGTTGTTGAAGTTCTTCGATATTTCTGTAAGATACTAGATGCTGTGATATTACTTCAGACGAACTACTTATATCAGCAGAGCTTACTTCCTCATCACGAATTACATGGTTGCCCCTTGCTTCTTCAAGTTCCATCAAAAGCACTCTAATCTAAAGATAAAGTTTTGATATGTGTTAGTTTTGATTCTGAAAATGTTTAGAAAAAAAGAAAAATTTACAAACAAAAGCATTACTTATCAAAACTTAATTTGTACTAACAAATTATCTTAAGGAACAAAGTATCAAGGTTTATCATTTTCGATATTAAAACCTAAATGGGGGGGAAGGGCGGGGGAGGGGAGAAAAAAACCTAAATAAAGGAAATTTTAATAGAGTATATCATTTTTAAGTATATAATGAAGGTTACTAATTAAAAAATAGTGAATTATAAATCTAGAAACATAACTCCATTTCTGTAAAATGATGATCAAGTAACACCAAAATAGAGATATTTTGTGTGGGTTTATGTATGTAT